TAAATTACGTGATTTTAGAAAATCCTAAGTTTGAAGATGACACATTCCTGCTGTCAAATGCTAGCACACACGTCAGCGACTGCGGAAAAGTGGTATTTCGAATAAGAACCTCTTTTGACAATCACTCATCATATTAATCAGCAACCCTATTTTATTCACTTTATGGGGCAATTTACAGATTGGAGTGCAATTTATAGGGACCATAACCGTCCTTCTAATTGATTCAGCATTATTCCTTACGTGGTTGGCTCGTTTGTAAGAGCAAATGTGCTTACCAGAGCGGAAACACTGAACTAAATAGCACAAGTGCTGCATTTTTATTAAGTGATCACAATCATGTCAAACAAAATTGGCATGTCCTGCTTCAATTTTACATAGAATTCTAACAGTCATTAGCACATCTTTAATTTCACACAAAACTTGATAGGAAATCCTATAAAGTGCAGTTTATTCTGGAAATCTACTTTCAGAAGCTCTAAATTTCACCTACACTTTTCCGGCATAAACGGAAATGCAGCACGAATCAAATGCTGTAAATGGGAAAGAAAAGAAGTTATGCCCTGTGGAATTTTTTTGGTTAAAAAAGTAATTGAACGGTAGTATTTTAAAAATTACTACTTACAGTGTGATATGTGATGGTTTTCACCTCTCGGATTAGGTATTGGCCAGTTAGTGGCTCCATATTTGCATCTATGTCAGGCAACCTGACCTCCAGGCCATGCAAATAGCCACAAACCCCACTGTTGTTCCACAATACATATTCCATCCTAATGTTATGCCTGTTTGCCTGTTTTCGTCTTTAGAGAAGTCTCAAGACACCATAACATCATCCTTATTCTTCCACTCTTCACCATATGCAAACCGTCGACTAACACGACAAAGAATTTTTCCTCCATCCACTGCAATGTAATTCCATTCACAAGCAAAATTCGTTTCCAGGTATTTTTATAAATAAAGCATCATAACAGATGGTGCGATTTAAAAGAAACACTGTGCTCGGTAATGAGGAAAACCCTATATAAGAATCCCATGACTTGCAAGCTTTTATGAGCTAAAAATATCAATTTTGAAGGTTTTGGAAAGTCAACTACCCAACATTTTTTTCACCTACATAATGGCTCCGTGATATATCGGGTTTTTAGCTCTTGCTTTACATTATGGCATGAACGAAGAAAAAAATAATATTGCATTTTCTCAGAGAGCAGTCAATTACTTGATTCGGAAAAGACACGCTAACATGGGACTAACGTAGGCTAGGCTGAGGCACTGTTGTGCTGGTGGATAAAACACTAAGAGATTCCGTGACACACCAAATTTAGCTGCTTTAAGTTTTGGCTATAAAAAAGAAATGGAAATAAAATTAAGTTTTCCTGGAATTAATTAACTTTTTCTGATTTTAACAGCTAATGGAAAGCTGCCAAGTGCCGGGACTATAATTGTTGCAGCATTTGTTGACTCACCCTCGAGATGGAAGGCCCCTTGCTTCATTAATCACAAAAGTGACCGACCTTTACCTTCAAAATGCCATGCCGAAAGCTGTCATATTCAAGTGAAGAGCTGGCATGATTTAAGTAGAGTTGAAGTTGGGGGTGACAGTGCGATTGCCAGCGAAAGGATGATATGAATGATTGAATAAATAAATTATCTTTCGCAACACAGACTACCAGTGGCTTTGACCAAAGAATTCATTTGGGTTAACCAAAATCACGAGGATGGGGATTCACTTTTCCTTTGTAAAAGGATGGAGGGAATTTTTGTTATTGTAAAGTGGGTGGTTTGAAATGGGGACATCTCTAGACTATAGGCATTGGGAATAGATTCGAAAGTGAACTGACTTTCCTCAGAATTCCCTACTTTAAATACTGAACAGTTCTTTTCCTCAGCATATGTTTGCGAGAACAATTATCTTACTCAGCATTCAAATCGCCCCACCTTTCATGGCAGTACCACCGTCTGCTCTATTTGTAGTGAAGCTAAATTAAAAGACCCAAAAAATTTATATGCACATTTTTTGTCCATATATCTGTATTCATTTCATATTTCCCACCTTACATATTTGAACTTTGAATAATTGATAAGGTGACGTTGCTTAGCTCTGCGTTCGATTAGACGAGCACTTGAGTAGCCACAGTTTGTACTTCCACATGGCATCATGGTCTGCGGGCCATGCCAGTGGCCTCAGCTCATCTGTTAGCGAGTAATGCACTTCTGTTCATGCTATCGTGACTACTTACCGCGTCAGAGAAGACAAGTGACAAGAGTTTACCATCAGCAGCCGGTGGGACAATCATAATAGAAGGATTGGAAGTGCTATCAACTGTTTCGACCCTGTGTTTATTAGAAGTACCATTAACAACAGAAGCGAGCAACACTTGACTTTAATCATTTAGGCAAGTCAACCACTAGGCTGTGTATGATATTTACATAAGCATGTCGATTAAGTAAACACGCTATACCTCTTCCACTTCTCAACTAGCTGAGTAAAACCCAGATACATACACGGTTGTGCAGCACTTATGCGAAGCCAATGTTGTAGGGAAGAGTAGACGCCAAACCTTAGCCCCATCAAAGTATTTTGCACTCCGTATTTTACCAAATGACTGCGTTTTTAGGCCAGTACTTTTACAAATAGGGATGGACATCCGAGTTAACCTCATTGCATGACATCATGCAATGGTACGAGAACTGCGCATCCCTCCTTCTCCAGTACATTTTTCCAACAGGACATGCTAGCATCCTTCCAGATCTCCGGCAGGGTGGTTAAACAGGGTCTTCCATACAGCTCTGGAAGAAGTGTGGGGAGTTTGAAAATCTTGGGGAGCCACAAGAGTGTTTAACAATTTGCAAACTCACGACACATTATAAGGAAGCAGGATTTATTCATGTGATGGGCATTTCCTTGCTCAGTAGAATACCGTCCTACGTAAAGTACATCCACACAGTCATTCAAAAATTTACTGCAATGAAAAACTCCGTACACGCAAATCTTGCAAAAAGAATGCTATACGAAGCATGTGCATTAGATATGGCCACTTTCCTGATAGCGGATAATTATCATATCAGCAGCAAGTCTTAAAAACTTCGTTACGAAGCTGCCTACAGTACCTATGGGAATATGTCAATTAAGTTAACACAATATTTCCTCTACTTCTCTACTAACCAAATAGAACACTGATCGATGTGGCTGGGTAGACGGCTCGGTAACGAAGTTTTTCGGATGGCTCACGGCTGTTGCTACTTCACTTATTCATAGCATTCTTGCAGAAAACGGAAATGGGGTAGTTGCCGAAGGTAGACGTCATTTGCAAACCCTCTGTTAGGAGCCATCACAGATTGTCCCACCGGTAGCATGTGACCTTCTTTCGTCACGTTAATGTTTTGCAGGGTATTTGTCTTTTGAGATCGGGTTCGCTAACCTCTGCTACCAATTTGGCGCCTTGAGACTTCCCTGAAGACGAGAGAAGCCGTAGTACTGCACTATTGAGCAGTAGGCTGGGTAGGGAGCAATGTTGTAGGGCATAGAACGACAGGTTTGGTGTCTGCTAGTAAGCAATGATGCCCAAAGGAGCATTACTCAGTTTTGCCACTGCTAATTATACATGAAAAATAGAAATAGGCACCGGTGTAATTGTTGCAGCGTCTATGGTTCTGATTAACCTTCTTATTAATTCTCCTGAATTCATGAACAGCAATTCAGAGCAAGTAACATTTAATATCTTCCTAAACGATTACTTTACGTCTTGGATAAGGTGTTACTGCTACTCAAAGTGTATAACAATTCTTAGTTTTGTCACTTGAAAATCAAGGAACCTTTCAAACTTGCCTAATTTAAAGTATATTTCGTCAGCAGCTTAGCTCAATTTACCTCCGTAAATCAGTGCTACTTTTCATAGACAAAAGACAACAGGTTTTATTTTCATTTAATTTATATTTGTACTAATGCAAACCAAAAATTTTACAGTGGGACGCAAAATTAAAATATGGTCTTAATGCACATCGAGGTAATCGCAAATATTATAAGGAAACTGAGCTTTCGCAACTACCAAAGAACCAGAAGGCTTTGCTAGAGCCTGACAGAAACGACGTTGTCCAATATTTGGCTAATCAGGAAGCAGCAGAGCTCGAATCATAATTTTTCTTCAAGTACAAGAACTTGACATAAATTGAGCATGCAACTTTCTCCGTCTCTTATTCAAAAAATGATAAATTATGAAAGCGGATGTTTCCATTGTCATCATAATTTTGCGAATTTAAGTAGCTACTATGAAGCGTCGGTTAAATAATTTTCAAATAACACGATTTAAAAACCAAACTGTGGATAGGCTAAAAATGTTGCCTTAGGATTATGTTGTTGAGGTAGATCTAATAGTTGCTTGGTGCTGCCAAAATCTATAAGTAGATTTTATTTTTTCAAAAACTGAAAATTCAACAAGAATAAATAATGTAATTCCGTAAATATTTTGGA